GAAATCCCCTTACGCATCCCCGTTCTTCTTTATCAAGAAAAAAGACGGATCTCTCAGACCGGTACAAGACTATCGGAAACTCAACGCCCTCACGATTAAAAACCGATATACGTTACCTCTCATTTCAGAATTGATAAACCGACTCAAAGGAGCGAGATTCTTCACCAAGCTGGATGTCCGATGGGGATATAATAATGTTCGAATCAAAGAAGGAGATGAGCACAAGGCCGCCTTCAGAACTAACAGAGGACTGTTCGAACCTCTGGTTATGTTCTTCGGACTCACGAACTCCCCAGCCACCTTTCAGACAATGATGGACCGACTTCTCCGAGACCTAATCAACGAAGGATCAGTTATCGTATACCTCGACGACATCATGATATTCACCGACTCGTTAGAAGAACACAGGAAGATCGTATCCAAAGTTCTTCAGATACTCGCAGACAATCAATTATATCTCAAACCAGAGAAATGCGAGTTTGAAAAGAAAGAAGTCGAATATCTGGGAATGATCATCTCCCATGATACGATTCGCATGGACCCGTTAAAAGTACAGGCAGTTGCAGAATGGCCAATACCGCGAACCAAAAAGGAATTACAGTCGTTCCTAGGATTTTCAAACTTTTACAGACGATTCATCAGGGACTATGGAAAGATTGCCAAGCCACTGACGATCCTCACCGGAAAGGTAGATTGGGAGTGGGCTGAAGACCAACAACGAGCGTTCGACGTTCTCAAAAAGACAATCACCACTTCACCCACACTTGCAATCCCTAACGACGAAGATCCATTCAAAGTTGAATGCGACGCCTCCAACTACGCCACAGGAGCGGTGTTATCACAGCAACAAGAAGGGAAATGGAGACCAGTCGCATTCCTATCAAAGTCGATGAACCCTGCAGAGAGAAATTACGCTATCTGGGATAAAGAGATGCTAGCGGTAATGCATGCGTTGGAAGAATGGCGACACCTCCTCATGGGAGCTAAACACCAGTTCACCATATTCACCGACCATCAGAACCTCACCTACTTCAGAGATCCCCAGAAAGTAAACAGACGACAAGCTAGGTGGATGGACACACTAGCGAGATACGATTTCAAGTTAGAGCATGTGAAAGGCTCGGCGAACACGAAAGCGGACCTACTCAGTCGAAGAGTAGACCATCCGAGAGGCGAGAGAGACAATGAAGGACAGGTCCTTCTACCTCAGCTCGCGGAAGCAAACATTTATACTATGGAGGACGTGTTAGAAGAACACTACCTGGACGAGCTGCTAGCTTCGCAGCATAAACTAGATGATTACGTGGTGAAGAAGTTGAAAGAAGATCCAAAGGTTTGGAAGAAACGAGACGGAATCGTATGGATAGGAAATGAGAAAGAAGACGAGTTGACGTTAGGATCCTTCAAAAACAAAATCTACGTACCCCAAGATCCAAAGTTGAGGGCACGTATTATCGAAGAAGAACATGACACGAGCCTCAGCGGACACCCAGGAGAAAGAAGGACGCACGAAGGAGTAAACCGATCATTCTGGTGGCCTAGCCTCAGGAGAGATATCAGGAAATATGTCGCAGGATGCGAGATATGTCAAAGAACAAAGTCGCATCGTCAAAAACCGCATGCTCCCCTCCATCCAAATCCGATCCCTGATCGTCCTTGGCAGATAATCACAACGGATCTCATCGGAGCGTTACCAGAGTCAGACGGATACGACGCTATCCAGGTTTTTGTTGACAGATTCTCGAAAATGGCTCACTTCGTACCCACGCACGTTACTCTTGATTCGTTAGGTTACGCCAAACAACTACGAGATTCGGTTATACGACTACACGGCATCCCGGAAAAAATTATATCTGATAGAGGACCTCAATTCATGTCGAACTTCACCAAGGACTTCTATCAAACCCTTGGGATCGAACCCGGTCTGTCAACAGGTTACCACCCCCAAACTGACGGGCAGTCCGAAAGAATCAATCAAGACCTGGAACATTACCTACGCACGTTCATTAATCACCGACAAGATGACTGGGCTGATTGGCTAGCTATTGCCGAGTTCACGTACAACAATCATCTTCACTCCGCGACCAATCAGACCCCCTTCTTTGTAAATTATGGTTCTCACCCTCGTAAAGGAACCGGTCAGAAGCCTTCAGGGCGCTCGCAAGCTGCCGAAGACTTCGCAAACTCCATGACAAAACTACACGAGCAAACTAGGCAATCATTATTACTCGCTAATCAAAACCTCAAAAAGTACTATGACCGAAAACGCACGGAAGCACGGGAATATCACAAAGGGGATAAGGTGTGGTTAGAAGGAACTCACATCTCCACCAATCGTCCGATGAAAAAGTTAGATGACAAGCGATTTGGCCCGTTTACGGTAAAAGCAGAAGTCGGCCCATCCGCTTATCTCCTTGACGTCCCTAGATCCTGGAAGGCGATCCATCCCGTATTCAACGAAATCCTTCTATCACCATATCACACGCCGGAGTTCCCTAATCAACCTAGCACCTCGAAACCTCCGCCGATCCAAGTTGATGGCGCAGTCGAATACGAAGCCGAAGAAATCATCGCTTCTCGACCCACTAAACTCAAAGGGGCTAAGCTCGATTACTTCGTCCATTGGAAGGGATACCCGATCACGGAAAGGACGTGGGAACCTGATCACCATTTGAAAAATTCCCCTTCACTTATTGCCACCTTCCACCGCAAACACCCTGCCGCCCCACGTGTCATCACCTCTGCCGCCTTACGATTTCGTCCATATGAAAATTTCACTACTACAACCGAAAAACCCCGCCTTTTCGACTGGATCACAAACCGCTTCACGAACTGCGGCGCTAAGATTCTTGGGACAAGAATATAAAAGGGGGGGGTAATGTAAGGACCGTTTTATTATTTTCTTCTTATCCTCGTTATGTCTTGGCTCTCGAACGCTTTTCCCGTTACACCTCTGGCTCTAGGGCTAGAGGTATCCTTTGCCATTTTACTTCTCATAGCCCTCACAGGCTTTCTTAACCATCGCTACCACTTTATATCACAGATCAGAGACTGGGCATCGCTCCCAGCTAGCCAGCACACTGGGTAGAGACTGGTAGTAGGCATCTCGCCAACCAGCTCCAGGCCCCAGTAAAGCTTGGTAATACTAATAAACGCCTTATCTAGAATCGTACCTCATCATGAGGATACGGTTCCTGACCACGCGTGACAATCTTCTATTATTAGTACAAGTCTCTCACCTGCTGATTAATCAAGTCAGAAAGTCGTACGATAGTTGCTTTCCCCTTTTCTTATTGGTTGATTAATTCCTCAGACCACTTTTCGTATATTCTCTTTTCGGTCTGAGGAACAGACAGTTCTCTATATAAAGCCGTACCTATTCATGTATAGCTCCTTAGCTTTCTATTACTGAATTTACCCGCTTTACTCCTCAACAAGAACCTTTGAAGCTTACCTCTCAAAGTCCTCTACTCGCTATACTTACTAGCGTCTGTCGACCTCAAGCTCATTGGACCCTTACTCCCTGCAAGTGCAGAAGGAGATAGGTTTAGTTCTTGTTATAGTTTATCGTTGCCTCACACTAGTGAAGATATTTCCAGTCTTTTCCACCTGAATAATGGTACTTTAGCCCAATATAATCAAGACTATTTTGAAATATATGAGTTACAAGTTCCTCATTGTAGCTTACTGCAAATTTGGGGAGAAGCATTCCCTTTTTTTTAAATGTGGAACATTATCAATTTCTAGATATAATCAATTGCAGGAACCATACACTAGAAAGATGCTGTTGTCCTTGCTGATAGATGTGATATGTGAGTTCTGCTTTTTTGCAAGGTTTATTATACCCTTAACTGAAGTAAAAACTAGGAAACACAACACAAATGCTGTGACAACAAAGTAATCTGCAGAAGGACATCGAATATTAGATTTACACTAGATCTGGCATATTCTGTGAGGAAAATCCTGACCTTGTAGAAAGTAAAACATAGTAAAAAGAAACATAAAGTCATGTTCTTGCAAAAACATGAATTTACCACTTTTGTGGCACTACCAAGGTATTTGATACCTTATATTGTACATTCTCTGAGAGTGGTTCCTGGGGGCTGCTGGCTGAAGGTCTATGGGGAGAGGGGGATGCTTGCTATGTACAGTATAATACACAAGATCTCCATTTTGATACTCCTACACTAGATGACTTGAGTGTGAGGATTAATTAGGCACTGCTTAGGTATTTAATACCTTGAGTTGTGCCATTTCTGGGAGCTACCAGCTGAAGGTCTAAGGGGTGACTGGTGCCTATATGCTGACTGTGTATAGTACAGTATCTAAGTCCACAAAGAATCTGAGTGCTGTAAAGGTATTCTTTTTTTAGATTCTTGAGAAATTGAAATGAATCCGGAAAATATTTTTTCATGCCAAGTAAGGTTTCTGCCAACATTCTCTGTCTCTCATATGATAGTGATGCTGTCTCACACCACTCTTTTTGGATTATCATTTTTATGGCAATATGTAGAACTCAGGTAATTTCCTTCAAAACTGATTCTGACCATTGACATTGCCCAACTTTTGATTTTTTTTACTGAGGATCATCCCACACTGATCTGGACAAATCCCTGAAATAGGGTGTGATCATCCCAGTTAAATCTGTACATGTCCCCACGTAACATGGGGTTACCCACTTCTCACATGGACAAATACCAGAAGGGGGTGGGATCATCCCAGTTCAATATGGACAAATACCATAAAGGGATGGGATGATCCCAGCTCAATGTGGACAAATACCACAAGAGGATGGGATAATCCCAAGCCAATCTGGGATGATCCCAAACCAATCTGGGAAAATCCCAGTTAAGCATGGACAAATACCAAATGAGATGGGATGATCCCAAACCAATATGGGAAAATCCCAGCAAGAGATGGGATGATCCCAGTTAAGCATGGACAAATACCAAAATAGGATGGGATGATCCCAATTGAATCTGGGAAAATCCCAGCTTAACATGGACAAATACCAAAGAGGATGGGATGATCCCAATCCACTCTGGGAAAATCCCAGCCAGAGATGGGATGATACCAGTTTAACATGGGCAAATACCAAAATAGGATGGGATGATCCCAGCTTAACATGGACAAATACCAAAGAGGATGGGATGATCCCAATCCACTCTGGGAAAATCCCAGCCAGAGATGGGATGATCCCAGCTCAACATGGACAGATACCAAAAGAGGATGGGATGATCCCAATCTACTCTGGGAAAATCCCAGCCAGAGATGGGATGATCCCAGCTCAACATGGACAAATACCAAAAGAGGATGGGATGATCCCAAATCAATCTGGGAAAATCTCAGTTCAACATGGACAAATACCAAGGGGGGATAGGGTCATCTCAAACCAATCTGGGAAAATCCCAGCAAAAAAGGGGATGATCCCAGTTAAATGTGGACAAATACCAAATGGGATGGGATCATCACAATTTGATATGGACCAATGCCTGAAGGGTAAAGCATCATCCCAAACCAGCCAAGGAAAGTCTTGGAAAGAGATGGGATCATTCCAGTTCAATCTGATCTAGAAAAATCTCCAAATTACATAGGATCATCTCACTACATCACAGACAAATCCAAGCAGGGGACAAGATCACCCTGAGTCAGAATAGGACAAGGAGATCCCACAACAGGAACAGAATTATCGAATAGCATGCTTAGGCTGCTGGTGACTCAGCATGACAGGGGAAAATACTCCTGAAATGCACTAAGGTTATTCTGTAACATATAATCATAGGTAAGTTCCCAGCAGCTTAAAATATTATTGTCCTTTTCCAGCAGTTTCCATTTTTTACATGTTGCAGTATTTTGTTTGTAAACCAACTATTATGTTATGGTAGGACCTGGATGAACCTAAGGTTGAACTGGGACAGTGATTCAGAGTAGCCCTCATGTAGGTTCATCCCAAGTCACATGAAATTGCATAAGCATGCAGAGCACACCTTTCAGCCATTTTTGTTTTCACAAAAATTTATAATCAATTGTATGCGTGGGGACATATAGTGGATAAAATGGGTGTTGGCTTGTGGATGCTGGGCTGCCACAAAGAGCCAGCAATTTGTCTCATGCAAGACATGTTCTGCCTTTGACAATGATGCAGCAGAGGGAAGGATAATGAATATGTAGTACTTACTCGGACTGGTATCTTTGTGCATTTTTCAGTTCAGGCACTTGGATAAAGCTGCACAATTCAAAAAAATATCATATCTTTTGGATCAGCACATTAAATGGATTTGTGACATATCTTTGCCTGGTTGCAAGAGTGTTACATTATTTAAAGTTGGATGAGCCTGAATGAGAGGTATTGTAATCCTGCAGATGTATATGCTTGGTATTGTCAAACATCTTGTATTCCTTTGACTATAAGCCATTTTAAGTAACATTGATAGAAATCCAGGGTAGATAAATCTACTTTGTGATATGCAGTAAATTATATGATAAGTAGGAATGACAAAGTTATATAGTCAGTTAAGGAAAAGAGATATGGTTGAATTATCTCCTAATCAACTGAATTAAATCAGGTTAATTTGTAAATGGTTATATGTCACAATTAGTTACACTAACCTTTGGTCAAAGTCTCCTCCATCAATCTATAGTATATGATATTACACTAGAAGCTGGACAAATTAAGGTTCAATTGAGAGTAAACACCATTTGAAATTTGTATATATGTTATAAATGATGAAAGCAGGTAGTATTGTATTCTGCTTCATGGCTATTAGTACTATTGATAATGTATTGATGTTGGCTACATTTATGCAGGAACTATTTTTGCAGTAAAGCCCCCCTGACACCATGTGACATGTGGCAAATGTCTGGGATTATCCCATCTAATGGGATTATCCCACCATAACAAATGGTCTGATACCATGGGAAAATCCCAGAAGGGTGGTATTATCCCACTTCTGGGATGATCCTATCCTTGCTGGAGCACTTGGGATGATACCAGGAAAAACAAGCTCTTAGCTTTATACATTTACACAGATAGTTGAAGCTAAATGCTTATGTTTTGGGGGTGACTGAAGTGTGTGCCTAAATGAAGTTGCCTACCTTGATAGTTTACAAGCACTATATTGGCAAAGAGCAATAGCCAATACTCTGCTGGGAAGGGGTAGATCTGCAGATAGCAGGTGGGGGACCCCCAGTTACATTTGTTTTTACTTTACAAAGAGAACAAGTCTGCATGTCATCATCTGATGACCCAAATGCTGCCCTCCTGCAGCAAATGCGGAGGCAAATAGTTGCGCTGACCATGCAACTCACAGAGCTTCAGGCACACCCCCCTGAAACCATGGAGCAGAAATAGTGTACAACACAAAGGCTGAGATCATTGCCAACCCCAGTATTTTGACGTAGGCTGAGCAAAATTTGCTGAATGGTGGATTAAGCTCCAGATTTGGGTGAAGGCCAATTATGTGGCCTTTGAAAATGACTTTGAGCTCTGAACTGCCGTACTGTCAAGGCTCTAAGGAGCTATGGTGGGTCAATACACCCAAGTTAGACTTCAGGAGTGCTACTCCACGAACATGTGGCCCTCCTGGGATGACTTCAAAGATAAGATTGAAAAATATTTTAAACCCCAAGCTGAGCATGACTAGGTATAACGTCTTCACTTATGCCGAACTAACGGAGTGAAGGCGTCGAATCTCAGCAGGTAGTTGAATTTGTTTATAGAGAGGAAATCAAAAGCTAAGGTATGTACAATGAAGATTGACCACTTATATATGTAATGAGGCATGTCAGCCTTGAGGCGCTGACTGAGAAACATGAGGATAACACATGTGTGATGAGTAATCAGGTGACCTAATGTCACGTAATGAGATAAGATAAATACTACATGCTGATTAGATATAGTATGATAAGTGTCTCTACATCAGATAAGGATTCAGGAGATTGAGATTGTTCTTTCCCGTAGCCTTTCCAATGAACCAGATATTCTAACTTGCCACGTTTCAATCGTGAGTCAAGTATTTGTTCAACTTCATATTCTCTTTGTCCATCTACTTCTGCAGGTGGTGGTGGCTTTGGTTTCCTTTGTCCCGGATATGTTGGTTCTTTGTAGGGGTGTAGAAGCTTTTCGTTAAAGACTGGGTAGATATTTTTCCATTTTCCAGGCAGTTTGAGTTTATAGGCTGCTGGTCCAGTCTTTTTCTCGACTACGAAGGGTCCGTGTCATTTGTCGTCGAGCTTCTTTGACAGTCGATCAGTGTTGATATGCTCTGCTTCGATGTAAACCTTATTTCCGGGTTGGTATTCCACACTGTCTTTTTTGTTTTTATCGTATGATTTTTTCATAATCTCGGCTGCCTTTGCCAGAGATTTCTCCGCATTCTCTCGCACCTCCTTCATCCTTTCTACGAACTCTTCCGCACTCTCATTCTTCACCATCTTTTTGACTCCTTCAGCTACTTTTGGATGTTGTCTGTAGTTTCCATAAAAAGGGCTATGACCAGTAGCCGATGTCATGCACCAAAGTTGATTGGTAGCATGGACAGGTGTCAATAATGAAGCGAATATTCAAAAAGACTCGCCTTTGCGCCACACAGGCACAGTGCCACGTGGAATAGTAATTAATATTGCCCTTTTTGAACTTGTGGCTGATCAGCACCACCTCTATTAGGCAATCCAGTCACGCTCACCTTTGCTTTTCCATCCGGTACTTTCCGCATTTCGGCATTTCGGCAAATTTTCGCGTCGCCACTGGCTACACATTGCATTGCGCCCTCGCTTTTGTTGTTTCCCTTACTCCCCTTCCTTTGCCTAGCCCCACCATGGGCCCCTTCTTCTCCTTTTTATTCTCACCTGACGGTCGTTTCTGGATCCCCATTCTAATCCACTTTTTCGTCACCTCCACCCTCCTCCTCCTCATCTTATTTGCACCCCCACCATTTCTGATGTCACCACTTCCTATCCGCTTCCGTTGCCGATCCATTGACTACCACATGCCACTGCTGATATCAGCAAAGCCCCGGCGGCCGGTCCAAATAGGGCAACAGGTCCATCTTCATGACGTCGATCTGCCATCATATACTATCAAAACATCGGTCGCTCGTCTTGCCTGGTTGGAGCGTGGGTGGGTAGTTTTTGAGCTGGAGAAGGTTCATCCCCTTGCGTCACCCATGTTCATCGCTGTCCCATTCACTTGGGTACACTTATCTTTTGTCCATTGTCTTCGCTACAGCTACACCTATCACACGCTGCCTGGGACTCACTTGTTCCAAGTTGGAACTACTCCTCTCCCTCCCTCGTTTGATCAGGTGGTCCAACACAACCAGTCCATTGGTAAGGCCATGGAACTGTCGGATTTGGACTAGGTGGTGGACCGGTGGCTCCAGTTTCTTTTTCTTCAGCAGAACATTCATTTACAGTGCGATTATTTTTGATTTTTGAATCATTTTTATGGACACATATTTTTTTAGAATGCCTGACTGACAATAAAGGAACTGTGTTGATACTGATAGTGTTTTGCCTTGCCCTTTTTTTACTGCATCTTCCCATGACATCATGATTTTCCTGCTCTCTTTTTGCTATTGGACTTTACTCTATGGCTGTACAAACCTGTGACATTACTCACAGCATTTATTGTTCTATCCCTTTCTTTTCCTTTTTTTGACAATCTTATCCTGTACTACCTACGCAGGATTTGTCAGCGTACATTCCTTCCTTCATATTCTTTCTCATTCTTTTTGCACAGCTATACTGTGCATAGCCTACTTTTCTTTTACTATATAAACCCCTGTATTTTACCTTGTAAAAAGAACAAGAACTCCAATCCAGACTTCTTCTCTACTCTCAAGTTCACTACTCTGCTACTTGTGATCCAGTGTGGTCACAACACTTCCCACTTCTACCACTGTCAACTGCTGTCATTGTCACTTCCCACTTTTGAAGTCATTGTCATCCCTTTCGATTAGAGTCCTTCTGAGCACTACAGTTTGTGTGTCAGGAGCCTGCTATCACTGGGAACCTCGTCATATTGTCGTTCTCAAACCTACCTTGTGCTACGATTAGCAAGGTAGTGCTTATCTATACTCGTCACTAAGCACCTATCTTCTATAAATTCAACTATCCCTCCTCCTCAAAACCCACACCCATACATCTCTGGGTTTTACTTTGAAGGATCCTTATACATACCACCCCATGAACAACCAGAGCACCCACTGTTCTAGGAGGCAAAGCCCATAAACAAGTTCCGTGGAATCTGGGAGGATTGTGTGTTAGTTTGTTTTTGTGTGTGGTTTTCTAACAACAGTTCTCAACATCGACACCGAATGTTCTTTGTTATTATAGGAAAACTCCGCTAACGGTAACCATTCTGCCCAATCATCTTGTTTATGATTTACAAAAATTCTGAGGTATTGTTTATTAAGAACAAAGCTTGAAGGAAGTGTCTAGCCACTTGCTGAGAGCAATCAGGGACTGGAACTAGAGTCCAATGTGAGTAACTAGAGAATAGGAAGCATTGGACTCTGCAATACTGTCCGAAGTTTTGTAAACAAAGGTAAACAAAGCAGCCACAAAGGCGAAATAATAGAGAACACAATCAATAGTGAATGATAGAAGAATAGATAGAGAAAGGAATGAAAATATATAGGTAGCACAAAGGTGCAGAATCACCAAAACTAACATTGTTCAACCTCTTGATTGATTCTCTCCGTTTGTCCATCTGTTTGAGGTTGATATGCAGTGGATGGATTTCCTTTTATTCTGAGTAATGTATAGAGATCTTTCATGAAGATTGAGACAAATTGGACTCCCCAATCCGATATGACTTTATCAGGTAGTCCGTGATGTCTGAAGACGTTGTCTCGGAATAATCTCGCTACTCCTTCGGAATTTAGTTCAGCATGAGTTGGTAATAATTTAATCATTTTGGAAAATTGATCAACAATTACCATTATCATATTGTGGCCCTTGGATTCAGGTAACAGTCCGATGAGATCTGTTGAAATGATTTGCCAGGGGTGGCTTGGGATCTCATTTGGGTGTAGTGGTGCTGCCTTTTTCTGATGGTCTATTTTGGTTCTTTGGCAGGTTTTGCATCCCATTACATATTCTTGGATGTCTTTATCCATATAAGGCCACCAGTACGTTCTGGTAATCAACTCCTTCATCTTGTACCGGCCTGGGTGACCAGCAATGATAGAATCATGATTTTCTCTGATGATCTTTTCTCAAAGTTTCCGGTCTTTCGGAACATACATTCATCCTTTGAAATATATTAACCCCTCCTCTGTCCACCAACCGTCTTCTTGATCTCGTACCTTTCCTTCCATCTTTTTTACCACTTCATCTACGTTGTTCATTCTCTTACTGATCCATTTATATGTCTCTATTGTCTCTTTTTGTGATCCTTCCATTTCTTGCCTTTATTTCCCCGTTAGAGACATATTAATTCTAAATAGATCATTTTTGAGAACTACAACATTTTCATTATCATTCTCTCCCTTATCGTTGTCTGGTCGTCTGGACAGTAAGTCCGCTTTGATGTGGGTAGCTCCTGGTTTATGGTGAAGCATGAAATGGTAGTTAGCTGGTTCGCTGACCCATCTAGCTTGTCTTCTGTTTAGCTTCTGAGGTTGTTTAAAGTACGTGAGGTTTTGGTGATCTGTCCAAATCTCAAATTCCTTTGCAGCATCCATTAAATAATGACGCCATTCCTCTAGAGCTGTCATGATTGCTAATAGTTCCTTATCATAAATCTCATAGTTTCTTTCTGTCTCGTTTAGAGATTTTGACAAGTAGGCTATTGGTTTCCAGACTCCTTCTTGCTCTTGGGAGAGCACCGCTCCTAAAGCATAATCACTGCTATCCACTTCGACTCGGTATTGACCATCATTGGTCGGTAGAACTAATACTGGGGTTGAGCTAATTCTTTTCTTTATCTCTTTAAATGCTTCTTTTTGCTTGTTTCCCCATTTGAACTCTTCTTTACCGGTAAGTTGGGTAAGTGGTTTTGTGATTGCTCTGAATCCTTTGATAAACCTTCTGTAAAAGTTTACAAAACCTAAGAAGGCCTGCACCTGCTTCTTGGTTGTGCATTCTGGCCAATCTAAGATTCCTTTGACTTTCACCGGATCCATGCAAATTTTGTTTTCTGAGATGATCAATCCCAGATATTCTGTTTCGGTTTCTTTGAAATCACATTTTTCTGGTTTTAGGTACAAATGGTTCTTTCTCAGGATCTGAAGAACATGTTGCATCATTGCTCGGTGTTCTTCGATTGTTTTTGTGAAGATCATAATGTCATCTAAGTAGATCACTACCTTTCCTTCTTCTATTAAGTCTTTAAAGATGGAGTTCATCATTGTTTGGAACATTGCGGGTGAGTTCGTCAGTCCAAAGAATATGACTAAGGGTTCAAATAGTCCTCTGTTTGTTCTGAACACCACTTTGTGTTTGTCTCCTTCCTTGATCCAGATATTGTTATATCCCCATCTGATATCTAGTTTAGTGAAGAATTTGGCTCCCCTGAGCTTGTCTACAAGTTCATTAATCAGGGGTAGCGGATATTGATTTTTGATGGTGATTTCATTTAGTTTCCGGTAATCTTGGACGGGTTGGAATTTTCCATCTTTTTTTCTTAATGAAGAAGAACGGTGAAGCAATCAGAGATTTACTTGGTCAGATGCATCCTGATTCTAAATTCTCTTTTAGGAAGGCATCCAACTGTTTTTGTTCTCCTTTTGCTAATGGATAGACTTTGCAGTCTATCGTGTGATCTCCAGGAGTTAACTCTATTGCATGATCCCATTGTCTTCTCTCTGGGAGGGTATCAAATCCTTTTTTATCAAACACATTTTTAGAGTCGTGAAGGTGTTTTGGTACTATCCCTTCAAATCCTCCTGTCTTTTGATCTTTTCCTGCTGCTTTGGCTAATTGTTATGCTGTGGTGCCGTGAGCGCGGATCTGATGTATGACATTTGGAATTGATGTATCTTCGACATTTAAAATGTTAATTTGTAGAATTCTACCCCTCTCTATAAGATTGACCTCTGGGCAATAGGTTTCCAGATCTTCTTCCGGTTCTATAAATCGTACCATCATGTTGCATTCATTCGGACATCTGTTGAATTTTAGGTTTGATTTGTTCCAGTCTATTGTGGGATTATGTTTTTTTAACCATTCATGGCCTAGAAACATTCGATCGGTTCCAAGATTGGTAACCGCCAGTTGAAGTCTTTCGGCATGGTCGTCTATCTCCACTAATAGTTTCATAAATTCTTTGATGCTTCCGTCCCGTTAAGGGTGCCGTCAGCATTATAGACTGGAATTGGTCTAGGGATTCTTTGCCTTTTATATCCCTGTTCCTCAACAAATCTTGAATGTATGCAACTTCCGGTACAGCCGCTGTCTAATAATGCATCTATCGTCGTTGATTGATGCGTTCCGAGGTTTGTAAGTCTGCAGGTAATGTTCATTTGGTTTTCTTGAGTGCCTCTAATGAACTGTTTAGGCTTTCTCAATTCTTCCAATGCTAATACCGTTTTGTGGATTGGTAAAGCGTTTAATTCTTTGATTAACTCTGCAGTTACTTCTTTTCCTTGTTTTTTATGGGTCCAGCTATTTAAGATACCAATAGATCTTTCTTCCTTTTGGTCTCTCAGCCTTTCCGCTATCCATGCAGCCGTCCATGGTACTTTCTTTTCTAGGTTTTTATCAGAGGTGTGCCTGACCTCTTTGGAGCTGATTGAAGTATCTGTTACGATAACACAATTTCCGGACATCTCCTTTCCTTTTTATTCTCCGTTTTAACTTTATACTTTAAATTGCCACGCGGCATTTCCCTTTCTCGCGCCGCGTTGCCTTTCTTTTACTTTTAGACTTAACTCTCTCACGCAGTGGAGCTGGCCATACGGGCTAGGCCCTATGACATCATCAGCCACTGCCTTCATCAACTGTATAGTACACATGTACAAACAACCTGTAGTAGTATATAAACCCCAATAGATCCAGGAGACTCCTCAGCGAGTCCTCCTGTTGTATACCAACTAACTCACTGCAGCCCAAGGGGTACCCACTCCCCATCTTCCACTACCTTTATAGTGTGTTCCTGTGTGCGCCAGAGTAACTAACTCTTGGTTGTTACAGTATCAGTATTATTGGTGCTACCCAATTGAGTCACCGCCTTCTGTAATTCAGTTGTCTCCTTCTTTGCTGCGCTTTTCATGGTCCTATCCCCTTTAGGTACCTTGCGCGCCACTTCTAGGTTTTTATCAAAGGTGTGCCTGACCTCTTCAGAACGTGTCAAGGTATCAGTGTCAGAAGCGCTACCCAATTGAGTCGCTTCATTCTGTACCTTAGTTGTTTCTGTTTTGGGAATCTCTTCAGCCCATTTCCCTTTCAGGCTCTCCTCTTTAGATTGCTCTTTCTGTTTCAGATTTTGTGCGTTTTTAAATAATGCAATTTCATTTTCATCGGTGTTACATGCATCAAGATTGTCAACAGAGAGAGAAGCATATCTATTTACATTTGCAATGTTTTTTGGCTCGGTCTGACGAGGAGTCACAGCCGGCCTCTTTAAAAATCCTGGAGCAGTTCGTCCCGCTCTTCTTTCGTTATTCCTTCTAACATAGCTCGAAGGTTGAACTTTGGCTTTGCAGCTGCGCTGCCTCCTTCTTTATGGTCTTGGGCTCTGTGCCCCTTTTCTCCACATTTGAAGCACCTGCCTTCTGCTCGGTACTTCGCTTTATCAACTTCCATTCTTTGACCGGCTCCACTATAGGTGTGAGGAATCGATTTTTCTTATCGCATTCCCGTCATGTCGTGGTTAGCAGACTCAATCCCCGTCACTCCTCTTGCCCTTGGACTAGAGATTACAGCAGGTGTCTTATTACTTTTATCATTTTTCTTCTTATTCTCTCTTCACACTCACGTTCTATCGTACCTACAACGAGGTAGACTCGTTGTCGACCCTCGAGAAGATATCCAGATGACATAGTCACGATCCAGTGCTATGTCTGGGAATACTTCGGAGGAATATTGATAAGCGAAGAAGGTTGTGAGTCAGCGCCTTCTCATGGGCTTACTGATACAGCCAATCGTACATCCCTTACCAATACGCTTTCTCGTACGATTAGTAAAGACGATAGATCGGACCACTTTCTTCCTTTTTTTCTTATTGGTTAGCTAGCTGGTCAGACCACTTTCTCAGTACTTCCCTTTCTCGGTCTGACCATCATCGTTCACTATATAGAGAAGTACATACTTGATGTATTGTTCTCCAGTTCAATATTAGTTTGGATTTGCGCTCTTACCGATACTCTTCATTCTCATACTCTGATTCACCGCCTTCAAGGAAGGACTTGACCAGACATTGAGCTTTGTTATATAGCTTCGTATTTGTTGCCTGACAAAATATTGAACTCACCTACCTCGAATCCTTTTCCAGAGCCCCTCTTTGGAAAACTGTTTCCTTACACCCTGAAAAAGACTGTCGTTGCCACTGCACCGGTCTAAACCTTCATCATCACCTTCTCCACCTCTCTACCATCCCTATCCCTCTCCTCACTATCGTCATCGACCTCTCACTATCCACCCCATTACACCTATTGTCGTTCAGTCTTCTCAAACTGGACGCCTCCTTTACCATCACCGCTCTCGTCCAATTCTTTGCGTTCTTTGCCATCATCAGATACCTACAAACCGGACTCATCAGCGACGTCGTGTACCTCCATCGTGTCTACCTCCCAACAGCTCTCAGAAGAGTGGGTATCAGAAGCGGACCGCAGACACCAGAAAGATTTCCTCGCAGCTCTCAACAAACCGCTCCCGATCCTCCCCGTCCCTACCGAAGCCCGTACCCCAGACGCGGAAGGAACGATCGAACAGATCACTGAGTTGTATCAAGACTCCTCTGCTTCGTCTTCACCAATTGATCCGATCGAGGATATCATCCTCGACATAAACGACGCACTCGCTCTCACCCAATCCATCTTTTACCATTCCGCCATCTGTAGGAGAAATTCTCGCAGTCTCGAGGAGATACTCCAACATCTCCGACAGAGCACGGAGAGAACTTTTAATCTTCATATCCCTGCGGCACGAACAAATTCCGTTGATAGACTACTTCGAGAGCCTAGTACGCCCGAGTTACGAGAACACTCAGAGGGTTAAGCTTTTGAAAGGAATAGCCAACGTACAAGAACGAAACCTGCAACTTATTTCGCAGAGCCACATCCCAGATCTTCTCGATCTTTATCGAATCCGCCCTCTCATTTTTCCAGACATACCCAGCCGCCTCCTCCCTTACGACTTCGAACACACCTTGCTTTGTGGCATTGTGTTAAGGAAGAGGCCTAACGAGGAACCTACCTACGATATCCCGTCCTCATTTTTTACATCTGACTACTACGACACCTACTCCGCCTCTCCTGTCAGTTACCAACCCATCCAGTACTTCTGCATCGGCAATCATCTGGACCACCTTTCTATTGTCCAATATCTGACACGACTTCGCCGAACTCTCTACCTCCCTGAAGTCCACGATCTTGACGCATTCGGGCCGCGGTTTGGTCTTCAACACAGCACTTCTATTATCATTGTCACGCCCTCTACTAAAGATCATATTCGACGAGTTGTTGCTGCATTAGCACGATTTGATCAGCTCATCGCAACTGCTCAGAGGAAATCCCGTGACGGAGAAGACTACACGACCGAAATCGACAACATTCAACACGTTTCAGAATACGTCGACGAATATTACTGGATCCTAGAAATCCTCACTCCATTTGTTGTTAACCAACAATCTGATCACCCCGAACGTTTCATTGTTACAGTACTCCAAAGCGATTTCTGGGCCGTTATCAACCATAGCTCACGAACTCGTATCTATTCGCAGTACTCTTACACCTACCAAGGTCGAAGAGGAGAAGCACCGCTCATCCCGTCGGTTGAACAACTTTTTGCACCTTGCGCAGAAAGGATAGAACGAGAAACAGGAAGTTCATTAACAGATATACTTGGAGGAGAATCTAGCAGCGAAACTGAGTCGGAAAGTGAAGAGTCTACTCAAAGCGTAGAATATTGGAGACCCCGAGAAGCAGAAGGAGGAGACTTCCCTAGTAATTTTACGTTTGACCCAGACTTTGAGTAAATAAAAAGAGACCAGTTATCTAGAAAGACTTGTTATCTAAACCCGTTATCTAACCCGTTGAAAATCTGGAGCCCTATCGAGAACCCCGTCCTCTGGTCACTCCCGACACACCTCCCCCACAATCTCTAGGAGCTGCGGCTGAAGCTCTAGAACCAGACGATCTGTATCAATCAGCAGGACCAGAAAACTTTCCTCCCCCACCTCCAAGTCCAGAACTCGAAAACCAACCCGACGATTGGCTCGATCAGGAATCTTTGGACCTTGAACCTGATCTAGCAGCAGCAATGGCCGACGAAACAAATCAAGGAAGTAAAGCTGTCCTTGCCACTCCTCCATTCGAATTCATCGGTAAAAAGGAAACATACGTTGACTGGAAGAACGCGTTAGCAAACTACTTTTTCGCCTATCCCAGAAGTTTCCAGACCAACTCCTCCAAGATCCTCTTTGCACTATCCCGGATCTCGTCCGATAAAGCCAATGACGCCTGTCACACATGGAAGGCGAATTTCAACAACAAAACCGCAGTGCTAGGAGACCTATTTGCACCGCGAAATTGGGGAACTATCTCAGAATTCATCAAGGAATTAGATAACGAATTCTTGGACCCCCATCTCAAATTGAAAGCAGAGATTGCCCTTCACGATTACGAACAGCGAGAGATGACGGTAGACGCATATTTTGGAGGACTCGAATCCAAACTCATGGAAGCGGGATTACCACCAGACGCAGATGAAAGTTATCCGTTCATTCACAGTATCCTTCGCCGCAACCTCTCTCAATTCCTTCGTGATCGTATCTCGCAACAGGAAAACCTACCCACCACGTACTTAGAGTGGAAGGCAGCGGCAAGGAAATGGGAACAGCGAAATGAAGAGCTTAATCTGGAAAGGAGGAGAGATAAACCACCTCAACAGAGGCTGCCAATTCAGTACCAACGATATCAACCGCGCTATCAGCAGAACCAACACTACCCTCCGCCACAGCATCGACAGACAGTACCGCGAACAGAGACGCGAAGACCACAGTATATCCAACAGCGACCGAATTATACTCCATCTCATAGACCACCGCCCCAGAATGCAGTCCATCCAAACACAGCAGGAACGTTTGGAGGATCAGGTGTACCTATGGAGATTGGGAGTTCCAACACGCAGAGACAACATCGGCCCAACCCGAATGTTACTTGTTACAACTGCGGCGAACGAGGCCACATTGCTAGAAATTGCCCACATGAAAAGATGGCAATACGATATATGGAAACGGAGGAAACCAAAGACACTCCCACTACATCGTCATTAAAAGAAATTGAAGCACCCCCGAAGGATTTTCAGAAAGGTCAGGAGTAAGCACGGACTCTCTGACCCGAAGTGTTGTATTTAACCCTCGTATATTACCAACGACTGCAATGAAACGAGTTGATCAACATCTACGTGCTGTAACCGAAACCTACGCAAAGCCACATTCACCGGAATGGTTGGCCAGACGAATCAAAGACCAGAAACCAGAAAGAGCAAGAGCTCTGTTACGAAACTGGGCCCATAAAGATCACTACGAGCATATCACCCTGCAGGCGATACAGATGCTAAAGAACCACGACGAAGAGAACATTATAGAACGCATCCATGCTTACAC